GAAAAAATTTTTCTCGCTTTTCGTGCACTAATCATGAAATTGGAAGATTTATTACCATAAAGTCATCCCCAACATGTTGTCGATATTAGTCTTAAAAAATATTAATATCTGAAGTCAACTGATTGTATTAAAATTTTGATGAATGCGAATGAATTTAAAGTAGTTTGATATCGCACAGTTTCTGGGTTCCTACAAGATTTTTACAAGTAGTTAACTCGATTAACAATGTGGTTAAAATTATCAAGTACTTCATGGGAGCGTTGATCTAAGAAGTACCGTAAATCCGAACATTTCTTTGCCTGTTTCAGTCATTTTTCTTTTTCAGAAAGATCATTGGGGAAAGAAGGCGTACGATGACTTTGCACATGTAACCGGGAAAAACTTCAGACGAGAAAAAACTAAAAAGAAGCGAGGCTCGTATAAGGGTGGCACGATTGATCCCAACGTTGTCAACTCCATAAAGTTTGCAGATGATGACTGAAATCTATTTTCGCGGACGCTCTACAGTGATGATTTGTGAACTTTGCGCTGAAAGTTTTCAAAATTTAGCACTTTTTGATGATAGCAAATTTAAATTCTTATACAGTTTTTGTTTGCAAACAGCATGATTTTTCGATGCAATCCAGGTCTGTAGAAATTGAGCCAAGCAGTCAACACTAAATATGTAACTCAGTCAGTTAAAATCTGTCCAGCGAAACTAATTTAACTCTTTGACCAGTTGCGTGCATACATAAAATGAATCAGTTACATATATTACTTATCAGAAGATAAGAGATCTGAAACTGACAAACTGCAAGTTAAAATCAAGTCAGAATTCAAGAATGAATTTCTATTTTGAAAATTTTATTTGAACGTCATTAAACATTTAGATTATACTTTAGCCAAAGGCTAGAACGATGAAAAATTATAAATTTACTAACAACGTATTATAATACGAATTGCAGACAAAAGTCAGCAATCAAACAATAGATATGTCCTCAGGTTCATCACAGTACTGAAAAATCTGATAAGCGAACAACAGAGCATACCTTAAATAAATATGATAACAAATGAACTGATTAAAATGCATACATTTCAATTTACGCACCAAATTAATGTCGTCTAAATACTTTTTAACTCCATGCGACGTTTCAAAGTCGATGCATATAATCACAGCAACTTTAAGAGGTTGCGTTCTGTGTAGAATTTCTCCACTTCATCGTAAACAGCCGACGAAACAAGAACCGCCTCCTCCATCATGGTGTTCGCTCGACTTTGGGGCAAGTCACCGGCCAAACTTTTGATAAGCTAAAAAAGGCTTCGTTAATTACCGTTTGGATACGCGGGCTGTACTGCAGGTATTGGCTCATTTAACTGGCCCTTAAGGAAAGCAAGAGTAACGGGGTGGTGCATATTGCAGGAACATTAGGCAAGATTACTTCTATTTTTACCTGATTTAACCCTTGTTCTGATTACTAGTCAGCTATCAGGTCGGTCAAGGCGAATTGCAGTCGTACGCACCAGGCAGAACAGCGCGGTATTAGTAGAACCATACGAGTACGAGCACTATGCCGTCCCTATTTATTCGTTAAGTCAAAGACGCCACTACTTTACTAACTGGCTGCGTCGAAGCACAATTAGGTGAATTCGCAGTTTTAACGAGTAAATTTTACCTCAGTCAATACAAAGAAAAACCTCCCGTGTTATTCAAGAGGTGGTTTGGATGCAACGCGCTTTCACGTGGAATGCGACCCAGAAAGTGAGCAAGCCGGCGATCAACAGT